TTTTTTTGCAATTGAAGTGTTATAGAAAATGAGCTTGATTAAAACTTTAAGTATTTCATACTGTTTTTTGCTGGTCACGGATCCTACATCAAGAAATAAAGAATAGAGCTTAACAAGTCACATCTGGATTTTTCAGCTTGACAGTTATTACAGGCGTCACATTTGCAGCTGTTTATAGAAATTTTTTATAATTTTGAAGATTATATTACTGCGGACTGTAAAGGTTAAATTTGGTTATTTAAATCTCTCTTCTTGTAAATCTGTTGCTCGCTTACTGCTTCTTCTAAACAATTTCAAAAAATTTTACTTTTCTTTAATAAAAAGATTTCCACTTTTTTATCGGCAAGAAATATTGTTGTTAAATGTGGAGTGACAAGTACAGGTAAGTCGATCCGTTTTAAATCACAGCAACTCAAGTCGAGAAAAGTTATTGCTAATATGAGGCTCAGTAAAGCTAGTCAAATAAAGTGAACATTTTTTGCAAAGGACAGAGCGAGGGATGAAAATAGTAAAAAGAAACGTTAAACAGTTTCCTTGTAGCATAAATTCGAAAAATGAGTTTAAGTGAAGTGAGGAAGGTTAAACAGAGTGTGTTTATGATATTCCTTCGATTACTATCTGACGCTTCAAAACAGTGGGTTCAAATTAATGAAGATACTCGTTTTTGGCTTAATTTGAGAATTAAAGAGGCTTGAGCTGATTACAGCTCAGTATCTTTCATGTTTATTGTTGCGACCAGTGTAGCTGCAGCTACGGTTAATATCCTGCCTTTTACTTTCATCTTTAACGTAGTTTCCTCTGTTCTTGCACCAGATTTCTTCACGGCGGTAACGTTTAAGAGAAAGGGAGTAGTCGGGGAGGGGGTTGCTTGAGAACAAAGAATGAAAATAATAAGGAAGAAATACTTGTTTACTCAAGGATTTCTTTTTATTTACCGGGATCAGTCACGTAATTCACATGTCGTTTACTGCTTACACCTGCTTTTCCTATTTTCCTATTTTTTGTTTATAATATCTCTTTTAGTTGTCGACAATATTTTGAATGCTTTCACTGTAATACTGAAAAAAGTAGCTTGTTATTTTCTAAAAGTACATTTGAATATCTGATGAAGGTAGTTGAATGTGCATTGTTTATTCAGTAGTATCATTTTTTTGCATGTTCTTAGTTACATAAATTTTTTGGATTAAGTAAAATACTATGCATTTTGTGTTGTTTAGTGTTGAAGATCGACTAATTGAGGATCATCGGCGATTTTGTGAGGAAACTCACTGGGGAAGTTTGGCATTTCCGCGTACGCCTGAATGTTCAGATGCTATCGCAGCTTGTCCGGAACCAGAAGTAACTGTAGGTACGTGTCGTGCAGTACCAGTTTTATTTGGTTTTTTTCCCGAAAGATGTACTTCTTTTTTTTATTATATGTCTATCGCTTGGTTGTACTTAAACATCAAAATACGAATATTTAAAGTTTACAGTTTCTGCTATGACAGTTGTCGTACACGTTTGAAAAAAGTGTAACGAATTCAGAATCGTTAATCTACGTCATCTTCTTTTCTTTCTTTCTTTTCCAGGTATTGTTGTTTTCAAATGTGGTTGTGATGTAGCCATTTGGGAACCCCAGCCAGATACCAACAACTGTACACACAAATGGATCGGTGAACTAAACAGTGCAATAGAACGTGGTGATCCAGCCGAAAATATTAGTCAGAACTGGTCAAATGAGTTGCGACAAGCTCTAAACACTAAGTTAATAATTAATAAAATGAAAATTACAGCTTTTTGTTTCTTTACTGTTTATTATTTTTTATTGTGACATATTTGCTCTTGTTGCGGTATAGGACTTTTTTTTAAATGATGTTTTTAGCAAAGCTCTATATGATGCGCTTACAATAGAAGTAACTTTCATCTAAAATATACTTTTGTTTAGTATGTATGGCGGTGACATAAGCGGAAGTGTTCATATTGCTGAGCAACTTTTATCACTGGCGAAACAGCAACTTGGTGAGACACAAGATCAGTTAAAGCGTAGCAAACGAGCTTACACTTTCACACGAGTTGGTTCCCTTTAACTGTTACTGATTTTTAGTAGTAAAAGAGTGAAATTTTGACAGATTGCTAGAAGAAAGGGGATTTTGGTAAAGACCTCTTGTTTTTGATAACTTTGACATTTAATTACGAAAACAAAAGCTTATTTTTTATTGCATTTGTTCATGTTGTGAAACAATTTATTACCTTCAGCGTTTTGGTGAAGCTGGTGACTTACTGCTCAGCAATAAGTCGGAAAAAATATGGCTTTCATTTGAAGTAAGGAAACGTATCCGAGAGGCATCTGCATTAATGTCATTGCTGCAACAGAGTGCAGCTCTGATGGCCAACTATTTGAAAGAGGATCAAAAACAAATTGGTTATGAGAATTGGGGTAATTTTGAATTGTTTCAATTTTGGAAACAGAAGGGCTTAATGTACTTTCTAAATATTACAATTTAGGAGGAGTCAATATTACACTTTATTAGAAAAATTTTTGTGGCTTCAATGACTAGTTATTACTTAGAAATTTATGAAAAATTGCTAATTAACCACCAATAATTTGTCTAAAAAAAATTGCTTTAATTTTATTGTGTCAGCACTTTTTTTTTTCAACATTTAAAAAACAAAACATTGTTTTTCAGTTATGGAAGTGCACATCAAGAAAGCAGAATCGACTCTGAATTCAGATTCAATACCACGTAGAGAACCTGGCGTATATTCGGCTCCGATGGCCACAGCGTCACACGCCACTTTTACAACTGCTGAACCACCTCAAAAACCAATTTCTTTTGCCAACTATTCGCTGTCACCCATCATTAAAATGCCATCATTTGGCGCTTTTCGTATGCTTTTTTGCTTATTGATGATTTTTCATTATTTTAGATTTTCCTTAATTTTTCATTGTTGTCTAATGGATCTTAAAATGAGGAGCTGTATTTAAAGGATTGTATAAGAAAAAAATGAAATTACTCAAGTTAAGTGTTTTAAATTTGAAAAAAAAAA